GTATACAATTGTAACAATGAATTGTCCAAAGCAAGTGAGAAAGCTAATAACCCTTGAAACTAAGAAAGAAATTATAAAGAAACGTGAGAATGGAAGAAGCATTGCGAAACTTAGTGATGTATGGGATGGCTAAATCGACTATATGTACGATTTTGAAGAATAAAGAGGAGTTAAAAACTGTGCAAGTGGCTTAGGGAATCTTTAGACTTAGCAAAGTAAGGTGTAATGTGATTTAAGAGATGGAAAATTTACTCTTAGTGTGGATAAAGGAGAAAGAAATGGCAGGTGGTAACATTAGTGAAGCTATAATTTGTGAGAAGGCTAAACAATTGTTTGAGGACCTTAAAGCCAAGACTCCCAGTGGAAGTGATAGTGATGTGCCAGTGTTTAGGGGTACCTGCATGCTGAATAACACTAAGGTAAGATAAAGTACCGTATTTTTTACATTTTCCACAGAATTTTTTCAGTGTTCAGTGGTTGTATTTGGGGGCCTGGAACGGATTAATCCTATAATGAAGGAATGCTATAACGAACGAGGTTCTGGAACCAATTACGTTCGTTATAGCATACCCCACTGTACGTGATACGGGTAGTCCCCATTAGAGGTTCACGGCGCCTTAAGCTCGTTGAACAGCCTTTGTGTGAAATACAACAAAGTCTAGGACTGCTTTTAGTATCCTGGTGGTCCAGCGGTTAGCGTTCCCCGGTCACAGTCATGGGCTCGTGGGCCGTGGGTTCGAATCCTGGCGGGTTGAGGTGTTGATTGTGTGTAGAAGTCCGCGTGCTTTATTGGGCTATGAAATATATATATACTGTATATATATATAGAGAGTAGAAGCTCAATAAATCTGGCTAATTGGGGGAGACTCCAGTTTGAAAAATGCGAAAGCCCGAAAAAAGCTAATATATGGGGCAGGGGGAGTTGGAGATAACACTGATTAGCTGAACTGTTTTTGTGTGTATAATAAGATTATTAAAGGAATATTACATTAACAATAAAAAAAAAATATGAAATCGAACTCTCTGTGTTGAAAATCAGACATGTAAGTCTGGTTGTCAACAACTTTGTTATCCAAGATGATTGTTATTTACTGTAAAGTGTTATTTGTAAGTAACCAGAGAATTTGTCTTATAAATAAAGAAAAAAAATTTATACTGTACAGTACTATAAAGATAAAAATAAGAACTAATAAGTGTAGGAGTATATTGTATGTAGAAGACGAATGTTTATCTGGGAGCAGCTGGCAGGGGAGGGGCGAGGATCCCTTCCCCTCTCATAGGTAGTAAATAACATTTTTAAGAAGGTATCTACATATCAAAATTAGTACTATACAGTCAACCCTCACTTTACGCGGTTAATGTAACCCACAGGGTGCCGCGGAAAGTGAGGAACGCGTAAAGTGAATAACATAACATATGGGATTAATTGAAATAGAGTCCGGGCCGACCCCCAAACTCCACTTTTTGACTACACACAACTATGTTGTAGTAAAAATATTATCTTAACTTGATGGTATGCACAAACAATTAATAATTAAGAGAAATATCAATAATATTAGGTTTTCTAACACTTACATTAGTAGAAAAGATGGCTGGGCACACGGGGATGGGCGGTTGGTTCCGAGGCAGAGGGCAGATTATTGGCCCTCACCTGTATCACTTGTATCAATTGTATCACTATCCACCATAGAGGCTTGCAGGACCTCTTTGTCAAACCCCTCAAAGTCCATATAAGTCCATATCTTCACTATAATTATCACTATCACTGACTTGGGCCGGCTGTGGTGGGTGGTGGGTGAAGAACTCGGTAATGTTTTGATGACTGGGCGACCTTGTGCGCACCATGCTCGCGCAGCTTACACAACATGGCGGATGGCGGGAGAGATGGCAGGAGGTTTGAATCCAAAAATGGCGCGGCTCTCCAGCCGCTCTCCGCGTAAAGGGGTACACGCACCGCGGAATGTGAACATTCCTGTTTCGGCAGGGTACCTCGTAAACGTGGAAACGAGGAATGTGGGACCGCGTAAAGCGAGGGTTGACTGTACTGTATTTATCTAATTTTGCTTCAAACTTTTCCACCGCCTCCACATTCACTACCTACTCAGGTAACCCATTCCAGTTGTTGACAACCCTACTTGGGAATGAATGTCTTCTAAGATTTAGCCTAGCTCTTGTTTTGTAGATCTTCTTTGTGTTCCCCCGGGTAGTGTCATCCTCCCTCATCTGGAACATTCCTGCTGTACATGCCTGGTCATAAATGCCACACACTATCGTGTATGTTTCCACTTGGTCCCCACGAGATCTTCTGTATGCCATTGTCGGTAACTGTAATTTCTATTACTGAAGAAGTTATATTAATCATGATGAACCATGAACCATAAGAGGCCAATCATATGAGAATACTATACTGAATCAATAAATAAATAAACACCTGATCAGCCCCAGCCTGCTTACATACTCGGTAGGCCTATAGCAAATCTGATTACACCACTGTACAGTATTCAGTAAGTGTTGTTCATTTCATAAGATTATTTTTTTTTAATCTTCCCCATTTCTTAAACTTTTTTTTTTTAGAATTTCTGGTGACCAGACCATCTCGGAGTCCAAAAAAGCGAATTCCGATATATTGAAGTTCGATTTATCGAGGTTTTACTGTACAGTTTCTCCCCCAAATTACCAGTTATAAAGTAACCATAACATAACATACATTTAAAATAGGAATTATGGGAGAGTATCTGTAAGACTAGAAATCTGTTACCTGAGTCATCTATAACCCAGGGAGTGTCTGTACCTTGCAGCTGGAGTTTGTCTTTTGCCTGCAAACTGCTTTTTCTACATTTAACTTATTTCTTTAACATAGTGTTGAAAGACAAGTTACTGTATATGTATTGCACATATATTTTTTGTTAAAACCATTTCCATTAAAAAATATACAAGTATACATAGTATATAAAAAATCCATAATCATAGTGAATGCTTTGTCTTTATTAAAGAAAATACAATAAGTACTGTAATCATTAAAAAAAATCATACCATGAAAACATCTTATCTCAACTCACTATATTAAGCTTAAATTACTGATAAAATGAACAAGAATTACCATACGAGACACTAGTGTTTTGTCTATGTTAATTTGATTTTTAAGAAAAGTAATCTCATGATTGGTCACTTTTCTGTACATAACAAGATAAGCTAATAGTTCAGTTATCATAGTGGTGCCTAACATAAAGGCAATCTTTGGGGTGTTAAACTTTTACCAAAAGGGACTCTGACCTATATGGTAATTTGCACTAAACTTATACCTGGACCCAATATGCTTCCTATATACACAGTAATTTTACAAAGATTAAATCTATGCCAATGTATTACTTACAGTATTAAAATCAAGGCAACATTATCACTGATACAGTACAAAAGTACCCCCCAAAAAAGTCAGTGTACAGTACCGGGTAGTTAAAAATATCTTATTTTCAAGCAACTTGAGTAAATTTCAATGATTTTTATTGAAATTTAAGTCAGATGCCTAATGCTAGTGCAGTACAGTACAGTTATTTTTAAATGGTCATTATTTATTCAGCATTTTGGACCTAATGAAGATGTGACACTGGCACTAGTAAGGGGTCCATTACACTAAGCATCAAACTTGTATTTAATAAAACCATCAGATATTAAAAAAAATTCTGACTAATGCACTTTAAGTTGTTACTGATAAAACCAAGCTTCAAAGCTGTTTACTGGAACATTATAAAAAAAAAGTACTGCAATTAGGTACATTTTTCTCTGCTGAATCCGATCTTTACTTCCATATTCTTGTGTTATTGTTTCATTTAAGTGTTAATTAGTTATAGATGTTAATATTTATTCTAGGTGTCCCATATCATATCTTGGCTGACATAATGATTAATATGGATTAGCACTTTTCTGTCAAATCACTAATTCATAAAAGTCAAGACAGAACAAAAGTCCTAAAATTGACAATTATTAGGACAAGTTTTAGTGTTTGTATGAGTTACAGTAGAAAGCACTTTCCTTAACAGTCACAAGACCTGGGTAATCGCAGCTTTATTTTACACATGTCTATACCACATGAAAATTATTTTCTAATATAACCCAACATACTACCTGCCAGTGGCGGACTGGGTCAAAAATTTCTACCGGGAAAACTTGTAAAAGGGCCCACTCAAAAGGGTTCAAAAGGGTCTAAAAGGGCCCACTCTTTTTTGTTTTTTCCGTTATTTCCAAAGTGATGGACCATCACTTTGGGGCCCACCGGAAATTTCCCGGTATCCCGGTGGGCCAGTCCGTCACTGCTACCTGCCAGTTTGCAGAAAATATAATTAATGAGAATTGATAGAAGCCTGCTTGGCCAACTTTCTGGCCTGCACTCGCCAAATGCATGGAATAAAGAAGAGCATGAGTCCAGACACAGCAATCATGCTGCCTGCAAGTAGGAAGCTGTAGTCGTACGAGTCCGTCATGTCGAAGAGTGCACCTGTAAATATTCATTAATTTAGTTCATATTATTGATGAAATTCTAAGATAAGAATAAAATTCATGTAACCTTCCTGTATATTTCAGGGCAGACCTTTATACAAATGAGGAAAATATATAGTACAGGCAGTCCCCACTTTATGTATTTTTACATACTATACTGTACAGTACCTATATAAAATGTATAAATTTGTGAAATTTTTTACTAATGCATTTAATCCTGTTAAATAACAAAAGTCATGCCTAGGCTACTGTGGGCTGCACCACTCTAATACAACCTGCACCACTTCATTGATGGTGGTTCACTATAGCTGTGCAGGTACTATTCTCCATTTCACTTATCCTCTTTAGCCCTGGTTGGATGAAAACGTGTCTGTGCTGGCCTCCATTTCCATTCCCCAAAACACGACAATGAACTCTATCACTACAAGACTGTCTTGGAAAAACATTTATTGGATTATTTTCGACTTCACCAGTCCACATTCTTCATGCAAGATGGTGCCCCCTGTCACAGGTCAAAAAATGTGAAAACTTGTCTTCATGAAAGGGCTATTCCATTGCTGGAGTGGCCTGGGAACTCACCAGATTTAGACCCCATTGAGAATGTATGGCACGAGATGAAATGGAAGTTGTCAACACGGGACACAGCAACTGTACATCGGCTACAGGAGGAAATCATGCGCATGTGGGAGTTTGAGATGGATGGAGAGTATTTTCAAATGTTAGTAGAATCCATGCCAAAAAGACTTCAACTGGTAATAAAATGTAAGGGAAATATGACTAAGTACTAAATAGTAGTACTGTAAAATAAACAAAATTTAAGTCTGTAAATGTGTTTTATTCATCCCTGAAATAAGTTTTTGTATGAATATCATGTGAAAAATTAAAGGGTATCAATATTTTTTGCGGTAATGGTAGTATACTGTATATGAAGGGTACACGTATTAATATACACAGATTTTTACAGTAATGTATCTTTATTAATTAATGAAAAACAAAAAACAATATTGTATCATGACTGAAGCGATGCGGTCACATTCCAATGGACCCCCCCCCCCTCCCTCACAGCATTCGTTATAAACTTCTATTTGTATTAGAGAGATGAATTTGATACCATAATGACCCTGAATAAATTCTCAATGAGACGTTTCCAATATGATATCCTCAAATGACAAGTCGAATAATAAGGTAAAAATAAGTATTTTACTGTGTATGAAGGGTACTGGTATTAATAAGCTCAAATTATTACAGTTTCTATACCCAAGTCTCCATGTAAAGAACTAAACAAAGAATTTATTTGAAATACTTGTAACATTCAATACCATAATATCCTGACCGCTGGGGATAGTTATACAGATTTTTCCATGTGAAAAAGCCATAATTTTGAGTAGCATATTACAGTACTGACTCATTTTGTACTCAAATGTATTATGCAAAAAGACTGAAAATTTTATCGCTTTTGCAAACTATGAGATGTTTATGTACAAATTTATCACTATCTTGCAAGGACTCTAGCAATTCAAGTTATATTCTGTTAAGTCAATTCTGACGTTTTATAAGAGAACTTTAAGCCTAAAACAGCCTTCAAGCACCTCATATGCCTCCCTTGCTGACTGGGAGGGGGAGGTGGGTTGTTGACATCCAGAAGTGAAGATTAATGCATACTACGTAGATGTCAGGGACTCAAGGGTTATGAAAGGCAGGGGTTTGATTTTTTCACTTATAAAATGTCACTGACTTGATTTATCAGAATATAACTTGCATTGCTGGAATTCTTGCAAGATAGCGATTAGTTTGAGTATAAACATCCCATAGATTGCACTAGACATAATCATTTTAGTAATTAACTTACTACAGTACTGTATATTTGAGTACAGATTGTCATAATTTATGCGGTTGCTTAGAAGTTGTGGTTACAGTTGCGATGCTTTGTGACATCACTTGTAGATATTAAATCTAAGTTATTAAAATCTACTATAGAATATTATAATATAATTACCAAAGCTAGCCCCATACGCTGAAAATGACGGTACCCAAGAAGAAGTGAACACCGTCGGCTGTCTGCTAGATTTTGGAGAGTTACATTTGCCTTCCATGAAGTGTGAAACAAGAATGACGTTTCTATCGCCTTGTACAATTGTGTGACCCAATTTTTAGTTAACTATTGTTTATAATATCATGTAAATTAAACGATATTAATGCGGTCCATAGAGAAAGAGGAATACTGCACTACTTCCCGTGAAGTACTCTGTTTTGTGTGTGCCAAATAGTGTTTTTACCACTACTTTTTGTACACTCCATGTATCATTTCCCTAACCTAACTAGTTAATTAAATCATTAATTAATTTGAAAATTATTTACATATGCAACATTGGATTGTTATTCCAAGTCCGATAACACACAAGATCACTACTACGGTGCTTCAAGGACCTGGAGGATAAAGGTGGAAATTAATTCCCACATCAGAAGAATATTTACATTATATGACAAATTCTAACATTATTTTCACTTTACCTAGAGGATAATTTTCTCTTCCTGTGAATCCTGTGAAGAAAAGGTTTTGTCTTGATGATAATAAATATAATGCAATAATTTTGCATTATTTGTCCAGCAGTTCTGGCTCTAGTGATTAGTAAAACTGAATAAAATATTAAAGAAAAAATCAAATACTTACCACACATTGGAGGGCCAATAATTGATGCAATGCCTTGAAACATGAGAAGAAGTCCAAAAGCATTAGTCAGTCTCTCCATGCCCAGCAAGTCAACCAAGACAACAGAAGTGAGTCCCACATATGCTCCAGACATGGAGCCAAACACCACAGCATACAAGATTTGTGATGAATAATCATCAAACCCTATGCTCACACATGTTCCTGTTGGCACAAACAAAAATATTCAAATTGATACAAGTTTTTCCACCAAATATACATTAGAAAATCTTCACCTTGACCAATTAAACTAAAATATAGTAATCCAGACATACAGTACTTGTGTAGAAACTGGTCATATTTAAACAAAATTCTGGATGAAAGAAAGTAATTTCAAAATGAAGCCACAAGCATGAGAAAACAATAAATAATAATCAGTCAGTGTTAATCCCATGTAGCCATTGTAAGTGAATGCAGTAGTGTGGGTATTGTAAGAGCATGTAGCAGTGTAGGTGTTGCAAGAGGATGTACAGTCGCAGTGTGGGTAGTGAAAGTGGATGTAGTAGTGTAGATATTGTAAGAGGATGTAGCAGTGTTGGTATTGTAAGAAGATGTAGCAGTGTAGGTATTGTAAGACGATGTAGTAGTGTAGGTACTGTAAGAGGATGTATCAGTGTTGGTATTGTAAGAGGATGTAGCAGTGTAGGTATTGTAAGAGGATGTTGTAGTGTAGGTATTGTAAGAGGATGTATCAGTGTTGGTATTGTAAGAGGATGTAGCAGTGTAGGTATTGTAAGAGGATGTTGTAGTGGATTTCTCCCCTACAAACGCTGTTTCTCGCCGAGTCGCCGACCCCACCAATTCCCCAGTGTATGCCTCGTGGTCTAGGTCAAGCAGCACCGCCATACATCACGGAGTGGGGGTCAACTACTAAGCCACGCCTACCCCCGCTATTTAAGACCTGACCTCGTGGTGATCTCTCTCTTTTCTACCTACACCAACCAGCCAGCAACACCTCCTCCGCCTGCCTGGTGGTCCTCGCTCCCGCCGGCGAGCATGGCGACCCACAGGCTGGTCCTCCTCTGAGCACCCTCACCAACCAGCTCTCTCTACATCACGCTTGTAACCATGCTGCCTTCCCAGCACCAAGCTGCATTGTACATCCAATACAACATGTATACATGAGAGCACATCGTGAGTTTCCTTTCTCCATTCCATCCTGAGTGTGAACCAAACATCTTGAACCCCACAAATGGTGACTCCCGGAGATTCGCACTCACACAGGATGGAGGAGAAACTGATCACGCTCCCAGTCTTCAAGCAGCATGGAAGACTGGCTTATCCACACAGAAGCAGCTCTCATCGGCTCTACAACTACTGTCTCTACACCGCAAGTTAGACACCCTAGAGAAGCTCTGCTACTCTAAGCAGACACCAGCTCCTCTTCCTGCCCCAAGCACCACGTCCTACCGACCCCAGCACACCCGTCCTGCCTCAGACGCCGACCCCGGCCTAGCAGTAACCCCTGCCGCCCCTGACGCGGCCTCTGTTCCTGAGTGCGGACCCACACACCCCTCTTTTCTCCCTCAGGTACTCCCTGCTAATGTCCTGCACCCTGCTGCTGTAGTGGACCCAGCTGCTGTCACGAGCCCTCATCCGCTTCTGCTGACGCAGCCCCTGCTCCTGACCCAGGCCCACACACCCCAGCAGGTGCATCTGACCCACTCTGTACCTGCCGTGAGGGAAGCACAACATTCATCGCCTCCACACACCCTTTTTCTCCCTCTCTTCTCCCACAGATAGTGTGTATATAGACAGATGTATCCAGCGACCGGCTCATCCAAGCCATCGCCGTTGTCTCACATGAGGCATGCACCGCCCGTTCTGCCTCACATGTGCTAAGCAACCCTGCAGACAACAAGTCTCCTACACCGCCTGGAGGGAAGGGGGAGTATTGTAGTGGATTTCTCCCCTACAAACGCTGTTTGTCGCTGAGTAGCCAACCCCACCAATTCCCCAGTGTATGCCTCGTGGTCTAGGTCAACCAGCGCCGCCATACATCACGGAGCGGGGGTCAACTACTAAGCCATGCCTACCCCCCGCTATTTAAGACCTGACCTCGTGGTGACCTGTCTCTTTCTACCTACAGCCGCAGCCAGCAAGAACTCCTCCTCCGCCGCTGCCTGGCGGCCCTCGCTCCTTCTCCGCCTGCCTGGCGGTCCTCTCTCCCGCCGGCGAGCATGGCGACCCACAAGCTGTCCTTCTCTGAGCGTCCTCACCAACCAGCTCTCTCTACATCACGCTTGTAACCATGCTGCCTTCCCAGCACCAAGCTGCATTGTACATCCAATACGACATGTATATAGAGAGCACATTGTGAGTTTCCTTTCTCCATCCCATCCTGAGTGTGAACCAAACAACTCATACCCCACAATGTAGTAGTGTAGGTATTGTAAGAGGATGTATCAGTGTAGGTATTGTAAGAGGATGTAGTAGTGTAGGTATTGTAAGAGGATGTAGTAGTGTAGGTATTGTAAGAGGATGTAGTAGTGTAGGTATTGTAAGAGGATGTATCAGTGTAGGTATTGTAAGAGGATGTAGTAGTGTAGGTATTGTAAGAGGATGTAGTAGTGTAGGTACTGTAAGAGGATGTAGTAGTGTAGGTACTGTAAGAGGATGTAGTAGTGTAGGTATTGTAAAAGGATGTAGTAGTGTAGGTATTGTAAGAGGATGTAGTAGTGTAGGTACTGTAAGAGGATGTATCAGTGTAGGTATTGTAAGAGGATGTAGTAGTGTAGGTACTGTAAGAGGATGTATCAGTGTAGGTATTGTAAGAGGATGTAGTAGTGTAGGTATTGTAAGAGGATGTAGTAGTGTAGGTATTGTAAGAGGATGTATCAGTGTAGGTATTGTAAGAGGATGTATCAGTGTAGGTATTGTAAGAGGATGTAGTAGTGTAGGTATTGTAAGAGGATGTAGTAGTGTAGGTATTGTAAGAGGATGTAGTAGTGTAGGTATTGTAAGAGGATGTAGTAGTGTAGGTATTGTAAGAGGATGTATCAGTGTAGGTATTGTAAGAGGATGTAGTAGTGTAGGTACTGTAAGAGGATGTATCAGTGTAGGTATTGTAAGAGGATGTAGTAGTGTAGGTACTGTAAGAGGATGTATCAGTGTAGGTATTGTAAGAGGATGTAGTAGTGTAGGTATTGTAGTAGAGGATGTATGTATCAGTGTAGGTATTGTAAGAGGATGTAGTAGTGTAGGTATTGTAAGAGGATGTATCAGTAGTAAGGAGGATATAGGTACTGTAAGAGGATGTATCAGTGTAGGTACTGTAAGAGGATGTATCAGTGTAGGTATTGTAAGAGGATGTAGTAGTGTAGGTACTGTAAGAGGATGTATCAGTGTAGGTATTGTAAGAGGATGTAGTAGTGTAGGTATTGTAAGAGGATGTAGTAGTGTAGGTACTGTAAGAGGATGTAGTAGTGTAGGTATTGTAAGAGGATGTAGTAGTGTAGGTATTGTAAGAGGATGTATCAGTGTAGGTATTGTAAGAGGATGTAGTAGTGTAGGTACTGTAAGAGGATGTATCAGTGTAGGTATTGTAAGAGGATGTAGTAGTGTAGGTATTGTAAGAGGATGTAGTAGTGTAGGTACTGTAAGAGGATGTATCAGTGTAGGTATTGTAAGAGGATGTAGTAGTGTAGGTATTGTAAGAGGATGTAGTAGTGTAGGTATTGTAAGAGGATGTATCAGTGTAGGTATTGTAAGAGGATGTAGTAGTGTAGGTATTGTAAGAGGATGTATCAGTGTAGGTATTGTAAGAGTATGTAGTAGTGTAGGTATTGTAAGAGGATGTATCAGTGTAGGTATTGTAAGAGGATGTAGTAGTGTAGGTATTGTAAGAGGATGTATCAGTGTAGGTATTGTAAGAGGATGTAGTAGTGTAGGTACTGTAAGAGGATGTAGTAGTGTAGGTACTGTAAGAGGGTGTAGTAGTATAGGTACTGTAAGAGGATGCATCAGTGTAGGTATTGTAAGAGGATGTAGTAGTGTAGGTACTGTAAGAGGATGTAGTAGTGTAGGTACTGTAAGAGGATGTATCAGTGTACGTATTGTAAGAGGATGAAGTAGTGCAGGTACTGTAAGAGGATGTAGTAGTGTAGGTATTGTAAGAGGATGTATTAGTGTAGGTATTGTAAGAGGATGTAGTAGTGTAGGTATTGTAAGAGGATGCATCAGTGTAGGTATTGTAAGAGGATGTAGTAGTGTAGGTACTGTAAGAGGATGCATCAGTGTGGGTATTGTAAGAGGATGAAGTAGTGCAGGTACTGTAAGAGGATGTAGTAGTGTAGGTATTGTAAGAGGATGTAGGAGTGTAGGTATTGTAAATGGATGTATCAGTGTAGGTATTGTAAGAGGATGTAGTAGTGTAGGTATTGTAAGAGGATGCATCAGTGTAGGTATTGTAAGAGGATGAAGTAGTGCAGGTACTGTAAGAGGATGTAGTAGTGTAGGTATTGTAAGAGGATGCATCAGTGTAGGTATTGTAAGAGGATGAAGTAGTGCAGGTACTGTAAGAGGATGTAGTAGTGTAGGTATTGTAAGTGGATGTATCAGTGTAGGTATTGTAAGAGGATGTAGTAGTGTAGGTATTGTAAGAGGATGCATCAGTGTAGGTATTGTAGGAGGATGAAATAGTGCAGGTACTGTAAGAGGATGTAGTAGTGTAGGTATTGTAAGAGGACGAAGTAGTGCAGGTATTGTAAGAGGATGTATCAGTGTAGGTATTGTAAGAGGATGTAGTAGTGTAGGTACTGTAAGAGGATGCATCAGTGTAGGTATTGTAAGAGGATGTAGTAGTGTAGGTATTGTAGGAGGATGTATCAGTGTAGGTATTGTAAGAGGATGAAGTAGTGCAGGTATTGTAAGAGGATGTAGTAGTGTAGGTATTGTAAGAGGATGCATCAGTGTAGGTATTGTAAGAGGATGAAATAGTGCAGGTACTGTAAGAGGATGTAGTAGTGTAGGTATTGTAAGAGGATGTAGTAGTGTAGGTATTGTAAGAGGATGTATCAGTGTAGGTATTGTAAGAGGATGTAGTAGTGTAGGTACTGTAAGAGGATGCATCAGTGTAGGTATTGTAAGAGGATGAAGTAGTGCAGGTACTGTAAGAGGATGTAGTAGTGTAGGTATTGTAAGAGGATGCATCAGTGTAGGTATTGTAAGAGGATGCATCAGTGTAGGTATTGTAAGAGGATGAAGTAGTGCAGGTACTGTAAGAGGATGTAGTAGTGTAGGTATTGTAAATGGATGTATCAGTGTAGGTATTGTAAGAGGATGTAGTAGTGTAGGTATT